CAATGCTTATGTGGAAACCTGTTTAATGGTTTCATTAGTACCGGAAGTGACATATGTTTAAGGGTAACGTGGCACCGGTGACAAGTCATTACTGCATCGCAGTTCTAGTGATGATTGTTTTTACCAAAAAAAAACAATCATCCAACACGTTGGCCGTTTTATTTTCCACTTGAGCATATCTCAGAAACTACTTGTCGAATCGATACGATATCCTTGGTTTAACGGGAAAAATTGGCATGACTTAGAGATTAAATCTATTTCGAACATTCTGCGACAATGAGAAATGTCCGAAATCACTGAAGTTGTCGTTTTGTTTAAATATTGCCGTAATATTTACAATAATCGACGGATTTTAACATTTGATACATTTTGACATAGCCATAGACACGGCAAATAGCTACGGTACTTTGGATTTTTCAATTTCGACGAATCTTCGCTGATATAAGGTGCGAAATTTTGAAAAATTTAATTTTTTCGACGAATCTTCGCTGATATAAGGCGCGAAATTTTAAAAATTTAATTTTTACAATTTAATTTTTATTGATAAATATTTTTTGATGGTATTTTACACAGGATTCAAGGGTCATCTGACTTGAGCAAAAATGTGAAACCTCGTGGGTTTTCTCCGGGTCCACCGGTTTCCTCCCACTGTTAAAGACCCCTACGGGCAAGCGAATTATTGAAATAAAATTAAACCATATGTTAGTCCCGAAATGACATAGTTTGTGTCGAGTGGACGTTAAACCCCATCTCTCCCTCTCTCTCTCTCGTTCTCTCTCTCTCTTTCTCTCCCTCGGTCCGAGATTACTTATTTATCGTTTGATTTGTATAAAACCAAGTTCATATGCCCCTCTTTTCGGAAAGTTATGTTTTTTGTTAACGTTAAAGTTTCCTGTCGGCGCTGGAAGTGACATAATCTTACCAAAGACTACAATTTTGACAGTTCGGTACCACTTTTTGAAAGCAAATATTATTTCTTTTAAATCTGGTATAATTAAAATGGTGCGCCCTTTAAAGGCGCACAAAACATCGGACTCAGTTTTTTTAATTTCGTTTTCGGGCTATTTCGATTAAAAGGTGAAAAAAAGTGTAAAATTAAGCGTTTTACAACCCATTCAGCGTCTTCATTTTTCTTAATCTCATAGCAATAATCCATACGAATAGAATGTATGTGAAAATTATTTTGTAATATGCGCTGTTGCCGGGAAATAGGCAAGTTTGCATGCGTCATTTTTCACATTATTTTTCCTGTAAAAGAATCAATTATCATTCGATTTTCAATTTGTTTTTATCATTTGATGCCTAATGCCAATTTGGACTAGGTCAAGCCAATTTAACATTTTTATTATCACCGGAAATGACGTCACTTGGTCAAAAACTGTATTTTTAGCCTTCAAAAAAGATATTTTATTCAAATGAGTCTGATCTGTAATGTTTTTAACATTATGATATTTGATTCCAATCAACAAAATAGAATTAACCCATACGATTATACAGATATCACAAAAACGTTTCTAACTTGTGCGGTTGCAGAGAAATAAACGATTTTTTTTAAGTAACCTTTTTTTTTATCATTTGATGCCTAATTCCAATTTGGACTAGGTCAAACCATTAACATGTACAATATCACCGGATATGACGTCATTTGGACAAAAAACTGTATTTTTTATCCTTCTAAACAGATATTTTATTCAAATAAGTCTGATTTGTAATGTTTTTACAATTATGATATTTGATTCCAATCAACAAGTAGAATGAACCCATACGATCATACAGATACCACGAAATGGTTTCAAACTTTTACGGTTGCATAGAAATAGACGTTTTCCTACAAGTCACTTTTCAAGATTTGTGGTCTATAAAAGTGTCAATTATTATTCGATTTTCATAAAATTTTCACCATGCGATGCCTTATGCCATTTCTGATTTGATAAAACTAATTTAACATTTTCATTCTCACCTGAAGTAATGTAATTGTGTCAGGATCACTTACATGTAGAAATGTATACAATGAATTGATATTGCTGGATTTGGTTGATTCTTCGTACATTTTATTTGATGTGTGCAATGCTAATATGGATACCTGTTAATGGTTTCATCGGTACCGGAAGTGACATAAGTTCAAGGGTAATGTGGCACCGGAAGTGACATAAGTTCAAGGAGGTGACATAAGTTGAAGGGTAGCGTGGCACCGGTGAGACCCTTCATTACTGCATCGCAGTTCTAGTTTTATATTATTTGTATCATATACTAACCCTATAATGCACAGCAATAGACGTAGTTCAAAGACGTATGTTGGGACTCAAATTATGTGTGAATCATAATTGACTGATCGCACAATTAGCACATAATTTAATGTGAATACATGTATGTATTGTCACATTTTTTAAAGTCTTATATCACCCCTCTGCCTGACATGTACCTGTAAATATAGTATTAGGTTGTCAGATTACTTGATAACTTATTTGGTTTCCTTGTTATACGTTGTTAGTGTTTTCTGAAACAAGAATAGATGTGTAGCCATGTTTAACTCGTTACAATACAAAACAGTGTGTATATACTTTCCGGTTTGCAACAAATTTACAATATGATGAATTGACCGGTACATGGTCTATGTGATACCTTTGCGGGTAAATGGTTTGTATGATATAGTTACTGGTACATGGTTTATATGATACATTTACCGGTACAGGGTTTTATATTTTTACCGGTAGATGTTTTTTATATTATACATTTACCGGTACACGGTTTGATACATTTATACATTTACCGGTACAAAGTTTTAGATGATAGTTTACCGGTCCAAGGTTTTACATGATAATTTACCGATATAACGTTTTTTATTAATTATATTTCTCATTTTTTCGAAAAATGTCAAATTTTCCTTGACCTAATCCACACTAAAGGTATTCAAATTGGTTATTTATATATAACGATAATAAAATCAAAATATCAATGATAAATAATCTTCCGTTTTGGATTCAATCAGGTTATAAAGAGGCCCATCAAAAGATTTCTGCCAAACTTATCCTACATATCATCTACAGTGGATGCAATTACAATTTACATCTATGTAAATACTGAACGGAATTGGAGAAATAATATTGGAAACGTTGATGCGGTGTGGGTATTACTTTGAACGTGAAAAAATACGCTTCTTTGTTTGATGACCTGAACAAGCTACATTGTTGTCGCTTTTGACATACACTCCACATAATTATTTAATGCAATAATTTGGTGAAGACAAGTAAACCGAAATTTTGAACAATAAAGAAAGAAACGAAAAGGGATTTCTGTCTTAATCAAATTGGTGATAACTGGTCAAGATTGTAAAAATAAAGAGGTTATTAAAAACTTGAATGTTTTTTGGGGTTTTTTTTTGGTTTCAACGGATCTAGAGCTATGTTAGTTATGTACAATTGAGCTATGTTAGGCCATTACAGTTCAACCCAATATGTACCGAAGTTGTATGTTAACCGATCAGCGTCTATATTTTTAATGCCTAGGCCAGAAACCATGGGGCTGTATTTACAACAACCGGGCGATGATATTACGGATCATTGATATGAGAAGAAAATTCTGCATGAAAGGGGGAAATTATTTTAAAAGGACTTCACGTCATAAGGTTAAGATAAAAAACAAATAGTTCGACTTCTTCTTTTCTGATGACAAATAGTTTCAGATTTATTTGAGAGAGAGAGAGGTGGGGGGAGAGAGAGAGAGGTGGGGAGAGAGAGATAGAGAGAGAGAGAGAGAGAGAGGGAGGGTTAACGTCCACTCGACACAAACTAGGTCATTTTGGGACTAACATATGGTTTAATTTTATTTCAATATTCGCTTGCGCGTAGGGGTCTTTAGCAGTGGGAGGAAACGAGGGGACCCGGAGAAAACCCACGAGGTTGGACAGGCGACCTTCAGTTTTATTTGACCTTCACACTTCAAGTATTTAAGAAATTATTTCACAATCAAGTTTACTAGGCCTGAACACGAAATGAAAAGGTGTGGGTAATATAAATTTCTAGGCAGATATTAAATTTTACATGTTTATTTGTTGGAGCAGCTTTTAGCCTTTATGTTGAATAATAAGGGATAGCATTTCTGTTTAATGTTAGAAACCATATTATTTTGAAGTTGTCGCAAGAATTTGGAAACCATATTATTTTGAAGTTGTCTCAAGAATTTGGTAATTTTATATAACACAAATGCACAGATATTGAGCTTAACAACGACAGCTGAATGTTAGTAAAGTTTATAAGTTCTCGACATTACGTTGTTTATTATTCAAGTTATTAACCTAAATACCCAGAAAAACACGTAGAAAATTATATTAACTGTCACGTAAGTGTTGGTCTTTCTCTCATTAATCGATTCGTCAAGATCTGAAGTGACGTGAAATACCTACTATTTTTATTCTAATTTGGATAAGATATCGAAAGTAAATTAACCATCGTATTTGTTAGTAAGAGTTAAAAACTCCTTCATCACGTGCTCTCGTCTAGTAAGGGAAGTTAACACAGCGTCCTCCATTTTAATCACGGTGATCAAATTTCTGGCAATAAGACCTATACACGACAATCTAATATAGTTTCAATTTGATTATGTCTTAAATTGTTTTGTACTTGAAGCGATATATAACATGACCAGAAGTCGGATTGAGGTTGTTGAGTGGGTTGTTAGGCAGATACTATCGGCAAGGAAACCATACCCACACCATTACGTCTAGCTATTTAAAGATATATTATGGGAGATTCGATAACGAGTTGACAGTTCTCACTATAATAGTTAAAAACTAGATAATGTAAAGGCAATTTGCTGAAAATTTCATTCAAATTGCTCCACTATGAACCGAGAAATAAGCGGTTGGAATTTCCGTCTAATTAATAATTTAGATAACGTTCAGGCCTAAAGAAAGACCTGCTATAGACAGATTTAGCTCTTGCATAATGTATGTTTAACTACCATGCCAATATAGCTTATACTCGTATTTTCTTTACCTTCAGGCAAAGATGTTAGGGGATTGCAAGCTTATCAGTGTTCTTCGGATTGGTGGGACCATTCGGCAGCTATAGGTATGTTTGGCAAATGAAAATAAATATTATATACAAATAAGGCTATAAGGGGATGGTGATTCAATCATCGGAAGACTGGGTGGTATCCTGATTGGCTCCTAGGCAAGCATGCGAGTCGATGATCATGGTGAAAATGATAGTTAGCCTTTAGATTTTCCCCAGATTTCTCTTTACAACCGTCACTGGTCTTGTGCCTCTGTAATCTAGCGCAACATACATTGCTTCTTCTATTTCAACTATTTTACAACTATACATGCGCTGGAGAACGTATTGTGTAGCTAATCGCAAATTATATTCTCTTCTACTCCAGCTACAAGCATATACATGCCCAGGAGATCGTACTATGTAACCTATCGTAACATATATTGTCTCTTCTACTCTAGCTAAATATACATGCTCTCTGGAACGTACTATGTATCCTATCGTAACATACGGTCTGGAGAACGTACTATGTAGCCAATCGTAATTTATATTGTCTCTTCTACTCCAGCTACAAATATATACATACACAGTGGATCGTACTATGCTCTGTGAAACGTACTATATATCATAAATTGTAACATATAAAATTAATTATCTCTATTACTCCAACTACAAACACACATGTTCTGGGGAACGATAAGCCACCCTGACATTTGCATGATTTTCGTTCCCGCAAAAACAAGCACTTCGGCGTGTCAATGATTAAAATCTTCGACAACAAGGAGTGGGTTAAGGGTGCGGGCCTGCGTGGCATGTCGTAGAGAGAATTTTGAAAATTTTGAAAATTCGGCACGCATCAATTTTCTTGCAATGTGCGTACCACTTGCGTGAACCATGTGTAAACACTGTGCGAACTCGACGCAAACACTACCGACGGTGCGTGTCAGTGCGTGAACAATACTTAACCTATAGGCCTACGTAAACCAGAGCCCGATTCCTAGAAAATTCTTAAGCACGTTCTTGTGCTTAGATTTTAAGTAGACTTTGCATTTAAGTAAACTTACCTTATTTTGTGTTCCCAGAAAACTCTTAAGAACGTTCTTGTGCTAACATTTTAAGTAGACTTCATTGTAAGCACAAGAACGTTATTATGCGTTCCAAGAAAAAACTTAAGCACAACTTCGTTTTTAAACATAGTCAATCTAAGCACAAGTCCCAAGCAAGGTATACGGCTTGCTTACCAACCTTAAGTCTGTTTCTGCTTCAAAAAGATGGCTGACCGTAGAGTTATTCGACAGCATTTCCGACAATTACAAGACAGAGAAAATTCTTCTCCAGAAGAAATTAAGAATGGTATAGAAAATTTCGCTTCTATCCTGAAACCATTTTATTTATTTGCCAATTAGTAAACAATAGGATACAAACACACAGGCTACTTTAAGATCAGGCGCTCTCACAATTATTCAGTTAGTTTGTATGTGTCTGCGTTTTTTTTTTTATCTTGTGGCACATTTTATATGTGTAGGCCTATAGGGGACATGTCAAATGCATCTAAATCAACCATATATATCCATATGACGTCAATGAAGCAGACGACAAATTTATGACGTAATTCTCATACCAAAGTTGTTTTTATGACGTTAAAGAGCATCGTAGTCACAGTTTATGGTAAACTTTACCAGTCACAACGTGCTTAGACTTATACTTGACTTGTGCTTACGTAGGAATGGTCTTAAGAATTTTCTAGGGAGGGTATTTTTATAAGCATGACTTTGTGCTTACTTTAAGAATTTTCTAGGAACCGGGCCCAGTAGTGCCACTGCGCCTCAATGCTTACCAATGGGGCCCATTTTTGTCCGTGTAATGTGCAGACAGTGTCCAACTTATGCCTGTACAATGGGCGAACAGGGCGCAAACACGGCTTCAAGCGAAATGGGGTTTAATTTAACGTCCACTCGACACAAACAAGGTCATTTCGGGACTAATACATGGTTCAATTTTATTTCAATAATTCGCTTGCGCGTAGGGGTCTTTAGCAGTGGGAGGACCCGGAGAAAACCCGCGAGGTTGGACAGGCGACACTACTCCTTGTCACGTTCAACCGTGGAATCGAAACCACACTAGTTGACTAAGGGATAGACTTTATGATACAGCGCGCACGTGCTAACCATTCGGCGATCCAACAACCCCGACAAAAATCGTGCAAGTGTCAGGGTGGCATAACATATATTGTGTCTACTAATCCAGCTATAACATACGTGCTCTGAACTACAGACTCTGTCTGGTGGTTTAAATACACGAACTGCTTTACTTTCCTAACCCTCTCCAATTAACTCACCTTCTGTACCATAACAATTTAGTGTGACTATACAGCAGAAATCGAGGTGGGTGGGTGATGGGCTGAATACATTTATTAATGGTATAATATATTATATTTATTGCAGCTGAGTTATTGTTGTTATTATGGGGTGTAAGGCTATGTGTAGTTGTAAGGAAAGCACCATCCGAGTTTAATGAGAGTCGCTTTATAAGTTGGGCTATATATAACGAGTTTCTGCTCTCATTATTTTTAAATGTCAGCACGTGAGTAACATTATTGGTTTTAGATTATTTTAATGGAATTGTGATTTTAAAAACGAATTGCCAACAACCAATCCTCTAACACTAATTAGTAAAACATTTCTGGTTTCGTAAACAAGATATTTCTATTTCTATTAGTTACATTGTCAACGGCAATTAACAGAAATTTAGAGCTAGTCTTTTTCCAAAGAGAAGAAAAAAATACAAACTTTTACTTGTTATTATCACCATATAAATTGTTATTCTAAAATGATTGATTATACTCCTATTTAAAGTTTCTTGTGTAACTGAAATCCCCATAAAGATTTTTTTTATAGATGTGTCTATAATTTCATTTAATTAACTTAAACTGGTGCTTTTACTAGTGAATTTCTATATAGTTTATGACGTTCGGATAATTTCATATTACGGTTTTTCAATATAATATTAGATTTGGTAGCAAGGAAAATGTGAAGACCTCTCCATATAATCAATTGTCAATATTGACCAGAGTTAACATCCACTATCAATGTCTTTCTTTCTCAGTTAACACATGAACTGAGAAATGCAGTAGATCTTTACATTTAAATCCATTCTTTAAACGGTTGATCGTGTAATTTTAACCCAAACTTCTTCAAAATGATCGCCGTTGGAGCTATAACTCTTAAACACTTTAATTGAAACCGTACATAGATCGAGGGCTAGTTGTGCACCATGTTTTATATTTTATTTGTATTATACTTTATATATTGCTCCCTAGGTATCTATATTTGTTTATTATTCAGGATATTTTTGAAGGACCCGTTCCCTACTAATCCGGATTTATTGTATTTAGTATTATTTATACATACTCAGCTCACCACTACCGTTACCTTAGCCTTTCTATTCGGTAGTAAGGTATGTACAACATTTTATTTCATATTTATTGTATGACTTTGTGCTATTATCTGATATGTTTCGTAAAATTTTAGACACCTTTCACTGCAAATGTAAACAGGATAGTATTACCTTGACAGTTTAAATCTTATTAAATTAGACTAAAATTTCCTTTTGTGCCATGTTAATTTGTAATTAACAAAACGTTGAGAGTTATAATAATTATTTTGTCTACAAGCTCTGGAAGTGGAAGTACGGGAAGAGTTCTGGAGATGTTAAAAAAAATGGCAATTTAGAGAGATCGATACAGTTGAGCGAACTGACTTTATAAAAGTAAAACGTGTTATAGATCGCTGACTAGAAACAGTGTTTAGCTCTGAAAAATTAAAAATTAACTCAGTATTCCTCAACCGACTGGAACGCAGACTAGTATGACATAATGCTTGAATCTGAAGACGTGGCTTACAGAGGGCACAATATGCACAATAATGCCCACTGTATTCGAATTTGTTATTTTCAGGCCTATTTAGTTTATAAATATCACGGTAAAGAACAACAAAGTCACCAGCAATCGACAATGCTTAGTAGAGGTTCAAAATATACAATGGGCCAGAAACCAGCTAGTACTGTAAGTAATGCGGCATCTACTAATGGTTATGAAGATAAAATAGATGATCCGGAAGAATGTGAAAGTTTCCTTGAAAAGGATATACAGGTTATTATTTTATTTACAATACTATAATAGTAATAATGAAATGTCATACTTGTATTCTAAGTAAATATATACTAAACAGCAAAAAAAAAAACTTCTGTACGATTTCAAAATCAGAGAGGCACTTTAATCAAACCATTCTAGAAAACGACTTAATAAATGGGTCCAAGAATTTTTTTGTGAACAGTATGTTGACACATAAGTGATTAATTCATCATAATGAATCTGTACACAGTCTATACATCAGTATCTGATGTGTCTACCGCGAGTGCCAGCGTTTGTACATGGAGTGGACCAGACGATTGATGAAGGCCATTGACACCTGGAACCACGCTCTCAGAAAAGCCTAGCGCAATCCATCGGCTGTATTTGGTCTCGGTACGACGTTATTAAGTCTCCTCTGAATTTCATCCCAAAGCTGTTCAATCGAGTTTAAGTCCGGACTTAGACTTATGCCAGTGCATAACGTTGACACTGTTCTGCTGTCATGCTGGAAAACGTTGTTTCGATGACGTGTGAAATGTGGTATGACGTGGGGTCGGAGAGCTAGATCGATTAGCGCACTGTTGTGATGCCACCTCCTCTTCCTGGACCAAGATTTTGGAACACCACAGGACCCACTCTCTGGATCAGGCCGATTCCACCCCAAACCATTATGCTTGGACCTCCCATGAGCCTCGTTCCATGACACATTGTTCAGAATAACGCTGGCCACGTCGACGCCATATTCTGGTACTACCATCTGCAGTTGATACGCAATACCGACTCTCAGCTGTGAACAGAACAGTTCTCCATTGCCTGTGTCGCCAGTTCTGGTGTTGTTGGGCAAACTGTAGACGTTCACGTCGATGGCGAGGGGTGAGGATCGGTCCATCGGTCCATTGTAAGGTCTACGGCAATGGGTGTTCTCTCTGGTGAGACGTCGGCGCACTGTATCGGTACTGATGGGTCTTCCGTGAGTTCCCACTGTCTGACGTACTGTCTCGGATGCCTGTGTTAAGGGATTCTGCACGTGCTGGCACACAACACGGCGGTCTTGTCGCCTTGTGATAACCCTTGATCTACCAGTTCGGGAGGGATCATCCGTGGTGTTGGTGGCTCGAAAGCTTTGCTGAAGCCTGTAGATGGTCCGAACATTGACCTGGAAGTGATTGGCAACGGCTTGGGCAGTGTGGCCAGCGCCGAGTCTTCCAAGCGCCTGGTTCCTCTGAGCTGTCGTGAGTCGTGGCATGCTGCTGACGTTGTAGTGTGAATGATTTAACCAGGTATGGGGCGGGGTGCATTATATAGGGCTGGTCCCGATGAACAGCACGCACGTGCAGCATGAGTTTATGAAAATCACGGAGAACACATTACCATCTCAGAAGTCAGGTTGCGTTTTTGAGAACATTTCCTGGGTTTAATTCTGTGTTTGGGAAGGAGTCTTATTGCTTAGGTGAAGTTGGAGATGTGGTCATAAATATACAATAAAAACATTTGGCAAGTTTTATGCAATGCGTCTATTCAGAGCAACATAGCAACCTGACGTTTCTTTTGCTGCTTAGTATATTATATCGTATCAATCCGTGTTTTAGTGTGGTTTCCCGAGTTATGGAGTTTGATCTAAAATGATATGATAAGGCATATTGGGGACACGGTGCTTAGTGTAGTTATGACACAGCGTCCTTTTCCATTGTACTCGCATTGTAACATGGTCACTTGATTGTCTGGAGGAAAACTGTTTGTGGGGGTATATGTCTATATATAGATCTTTTAGAATATTTTCCTACTGCATAACATACAGCGATATGCTTGATTCCCAGAACTTCTTGACACTGGAAGCAAAAAAAACCCAAAACAGCAACACCGAAGTCGTCATGTCAATATGCTGGTTTTGATGTAGAACAAGCCTTAATGGAAGGATTTACGGTAAATAGTACAGTATTGCAAAGGGGGGCGGGAAGTTTGTTGGGTAGGTACTTTAATTTAGTGTGCGTATTGTGTTTTTCTTGGAGCAGCAAGGCAAACAGCAAGGACACAGTTGAGTGCATATACATGTTTCGAATTAAATACCCCAAAACAACATAATTTTGTTTAAGTCATTAATTATTGCATGGTGCTTTTTTTGTTACAGGAAGAATTTCGACGATTGTATACTCAGTTAGAGCTTCTTAAACAGAGAAATATGAAATTAGGAAATCGCCACCTTCAACATAAACTATCGGCAATGACCGAGGCAGCCCAGAAAGAGGACATGGTAGACTCTACACCATCAACGCCAAATCTAAACGGCAAACGAATCATAATAAACTTAGACGATTATAACGATTCTACTAATGTTTAGCAGTTGAGTGAATTCTTTGGGAAATATCGCATTATTTTGTCTGGATAATCAACCAATGTCAGTATCTAGTGCATTCACGATGAGGTTCAGAAACGAATGTAACAGGGTTTTCAAAGAGAGCATAAGAAGATTCGAGAATGAAAAATTTAGACTATAAAAGTGGGTGTGAGATACGTAATATTGTTTGATTATGGTGTTTCATACAGGGTAAAATTAATCTATATCCAATTTGTTCTATAGTGCCATTATCACAAATAAATGCCCGTCTTTTTTCATAAGTAAACAATAAGTAACTAGTAGAGTAACGACCGTGGCGATAATGTGGGGGTCTAACTTGCCATAACATAATGTTATAAACATGAATTACCGTTACCAGCTCGGCGTTAGCTCACCACGACAAACTAAAATGGCACAGTCTACAAGTGGGTAAATCATCGTTCTGCCTGATTGTTAGTGGTGGAATAAGTGTATGAAACTAATGATGAAACACGTAAAATAAAATGCACAGAATGTTATTAAAACAGGGATTCACGTCATACATCCATAACAACTATCATAATGGCAACTTCACCGATCTGCTCATACTATTTAACAGCCATTTCATGCTGTTTGAAGATAAAAGAAGTAAATAAAGTTAGAAGCGATATTATAATACTATAAATTGTCTCTGTGTTACAAATAGAACTAGAATACGACACACTTCTATCTGTTTAGTCGTATAATATTACTGCAATGTACAATAGATCTGTATCAGCTATATATAAGTGTTTTAATTCAAATGTTCTATTGTTAATATTTTGTGTTAATTGGAGAGGGTAGAAAATGATTAATATCAACGTGAATGTTTGTTTATATATTTGATGACCACACAATATTATAACATTACTGTTAATATTGACTTTTAATAATGTAAATATATATGTAAATACATATAACTTTTGGTGTTTTGTTTTTTTGTCAATTTATAATATCGTAGCTTTGTTTTCTACTGTTTAAGTTATGAACCTTTGCTGTTGTCTGGATTATGATTTGCCCATAGGTCATTCCATTTCAAGTGGACCAAATTCTCAGAAAGTTGTAAAGTGACCACTCGGAAAATTATGAAACCAGCGGCTGCCAGGCAGGATACGCCCACATTTTCGAGAGATGGATAGAGAACAAGCTAAAAAGAAAGAGATTTTTCCTACAATCAAGGGCCATAATTCAGGAAATTACAATTCGATATGCGCAAATTTCGAAAGGAACTGAGATCGTTGCGTAATAAACTTACATTTCAAGTTTCAACAAAATCGGATAAAAATTGTGACCTCTATAGGGTCCACAACCTTGATATACCATATTTTACGCTATTTGAGAACGAAGGCCGGCCATTTTGTCTGTCAGTTTTGGGCCGATTTTCACGAAATTCGAACTCAGAGGTCCTTAGTGTGTAACAGTGATATAATAATACGGTTTTTTAAATCAGATAAAAAATTATGACCTCTATAGGGTCCACAAGCTAAAAACACGATTTTTCGTACAATCAGGGGCCATAATTCAGGAAGGTACAGTCCGATATGCGCGAATATCGTAAGGAACCAAGATCTGTGGGTTATAAACTTACATTTCAAGTTTCAACAACATCGGATAAACATTGCGACCTCTATAGGGTCCACAACCTTGATATACCATATGTTTACCATATTTTCGTTTTTCGTTTTTCGATATTGGTGAATAACGAAAAACGAGCTACTCGTTATTCGATATTGGCGAATAACGAAAAACAACTAGCTCGTTTTTCGATATTGGCGAATGTCGAAAAACGAGCCACTCGTTTTTAGATATTCAAACTTGAATCTCAAAAAAGTAGATTTAATGGAAGTACATCGACAGAATGTCTCCAAAACACATTTGATTAAATCAGTTTTGTAAAACGAACTAAATATATCGTAATAGAGGATGCCTGAGCAGTGTATTCACATAAAAACTGCTCTTTCTCCTTGTTTTTTGATATTGGCGAATCTCGAAAAACGAGCTACTCGTTTTTCGATATTCAGGCTTGAATGTCAAAAATACAAATTTTAATCATGTATATCTAACGAACTAAAGATATAATTAATGAGGATGCCTGAGCAGTGGATTCACATAAAAATTACTCTTTCTACTTGAATCTCAAAAAAGCAGATTTGATGGTTGTATATCTACAGAATTTCTCCAAAACACATTTGATTAAATACGTTTTTTAAAACGAACTAAAAATATCATAAATGAGGATGCCTGAGCAGTGGATTCACATAAAACTGATATTTGTCCTTGTTTTTTGATATTGGCGAATCTTGAAAAACGAGCTTTTCGTTTTTCGGTATTCAAACTTGAATCTCAAAAAAGGAGATTTGATGGTTGTATATTTACAGAATGTCTCCAAAACACATTTGGTTAAATACGTTTTCTAAAACGAACTAAAAATATCATAAATGAGGATGCCTGAGCAGTGGATTCACATAAAACTGATATTCCTCCTTGTTTTTTGATATTGGCGAATCTCGAAAAACGAGCTACTCGTTTTTCGATATTCAAACCTGAATCTCAAAAAAGCAGATTTGATGGTTGTATATCTACAGAATGTCTCCAAAACACATTTGATTAAATCAGTTTTGTAAAACGAACTAAAGATATAATTAATGAGGATGCCTGAGCAGTGGATTCACATATTACTAAGATTAATATTATTATTAGGCTTTTTTCATATATCTGGCGATCGTGTGACGCCTTGGCGACAGTGAAAGCCTTCAGCATTGCGCGCAATTCTAGATCTTAGGCTTTCACCTTCGGTGAAAGACTATTGTTATTACTAAGATTATTATTTTTTGTTATTGGGGGAAGCTAGATCTCAGCAACTATAAGAGATAGAGGTTTGAAATTTGATTTTCTGCTGGAAAAGTAGTGTGCAGCTACTCCTTAAATCTATTTTGAAATTTGTGCGCACACCGGAAGTCACGTTTAATACGAAAAACGAAAATCGGCCATAATTCTGTTAATTCTCAACCAATTTTTCTGATATTTACATTTTTGGATAGCTGGAGACATTTCTGAGCAGAGAGCAATTCAAAAACGTCGAGTTTAGAAACTTTGTCGCTCTCATTTTTTCGGTGAAATATGGAAAATTTCCTAAAATTGTTATTTTTTAGAATTTTTAAATTTGACTTATATTTTTGGATAGCTGACATCAATCCGATTCCAACAATATAAGTTTTGTTCTGAAATGATGACTTTGATTTTTCACTTTTTTTCGCATTTTGGTCAAATCTTATTTTTTTTAAAACGGCTCCAACGATTTTTCTGAAACTTCAGATGTATGAAGTCGAAGGAACAAACCAGTCCATGAACTATAAATGAAAATCCTCTAATCACCGGAAGTAGTCAAGAAAGGTATCCAAACTTTGACAAAATTGTGAAAAATGGGTGCCTGTGCGGAAAATGCGATATATCAACTGTGTTCTTGTCGATTAGTTAAAGTTTTATATCGTTTAACAGCCAATTGAATTGTCTATCGGATGGTACTAAAGCGGCATGTTCTATCAAAAATTTAAAAAGTTATGTGACTTTGAAAAGTAACGTTTTTTACGATTTCGAGCAAATTTGGACGCATGTTTCTCGGAATGTCTCCAACGATTTTTTAAAAACTTTCTCAATCGAGAGGCTAATGGGTACTCTGTTTTGTGAAACCACTGTATCATTTTTTGAAATGTCAGGGGTAGCCGAAAAATAAGATCGAAAATCGAAAACGTCGTATTTTTACGATTTGGAGCATTTTTAGAGGCCTATTTCTCGAAAAGTCAACATAATTCTTTTTGGGAACTTCTTATACAGAGAGGCCTATCGGTAGTGTTATGCATAAAACGATTGTACAATAGTCCCAAATTTCAGGAGTAGCAGAACAAAGGGATCGAAAATTGAACACGGCACCTTTCATTGTTAAGCGAAACATAAGTGGGGGATACAATCTGTACGTTTTGTCAACGTATAGAGTCTATTCAAGAGTGCTTTTATCAGTGATGATATTTGAACTGAAATTATTTCAACTATGAGTGTTTTCTTCTTTCGAAAATATGGGTTTAGTGACCTTGTAACGGAAATAGTTGATTGCTGTGTGTAATAATTAGCCTTTGAATTAATATTGTTGCTTCTGTGTCAAAATTATCTTATACCGGTAATCATCTGGACAGAAATCGACAGCTCGCTCTGTTTATAAGAAAGTTCAATTTATTAATCGTTTGCAGTAGTATCGTACAGTGGTATCGAATATTGCACCTGTGATAAAAGGCATGACGTTGTTTGAGCATGGACTCTACCTGTAATTAATATTGAATTTTATTAGTGACGTCAAATCTTTAACGTGCACGAAACAAGAAAATTTGCTATATTTCATTGAATATTCAATCAATTTTTGAACCAGTTACATATTTGAGTAGCTGACATGAACGCGATTCCGAAAACCCGTGTACACATTGGTGTGACCGTAAAAGATCCCTTGGCGGTTGGAATTCTATATAAAAGAGGACTAGCGCCGCTGTACGAGCATGTTTAGAGGTCATTTCGGGACTAACATATGGTTTTTTTTATTTCAATAATTCTCTTGCGCGTAGGGGTCTTTAGCAGTGGAAGGAAACCGGAGGACCCGGAGAAAACCCACGAGGTTGGACAGGCGACTCTACTCCTTGTCACGTACAACCGGGGAATCGAAACCCCGCTAGTTGACTCACTGACAGACCGTATGATACAGCGCAGTCCCAAAGGCTAGCCTACCGAGCAAATTCCAGCCAGCATAACGTATCTATATAAGAAAGATTAATTCCTACTGGCGATTTTCAAACAGTGCCAAATGATAGCCTACTGTGTAATTTCCAGCCAGCATTATGTACCTATATAAGAGACATTTATTCCTACTGGCGATTTACAAATATTGCATGAAGAAATTCAAATCCTAAGAACATAAACACGACTAATGCACAGTACCATATTGATTATAAAAGTACAATGTATATATTGGTTATACTATATATGTCACAAAACAACAATCATTAGATAATAATAATTATTTACTAATTATATAAATCATTTAATAGGTAGGAGTTATCCATTGTTTAATTTAACAGTTATATAATTACCCTGGTTAGAAAGGTACGAACAATTAAGGTATTTAAACAAATGATTACGAAAGAACATAACACTATAGACTTCTATGATAAGACATATAATACATGTTTAATATATATAAAAATGACAATGTGCAACTACTGCTTAAAGCTATTTCGAAATTTGTACGTATAGCGGAAATGCGTCAATTGAAAATCGGCCATTATTCTCTTAATTCTCAATGGATTCTTCAGATATGTACATTTTTGGATAGCTGGAGACATTTCTGAGACGATAGCAGTTCAAAACTGTGGAATTTAGAACCTTTGTCGTTATCATTTTTTTGGTGAAAAATGGAAAATTTTCAAAATTTTCTAAAAAATTTTATTTTTGGGAATTTTTATTTTTGGGAATTTTGAAATTTCAGTTATATTATTGGATAGCTGACATCAATCCGATTCCAACAATATAAGTTTTGTTCTGAAATGATGACTTTGATTTTTCACTTTTTTTCGCATTTTGGTCAAATCGTAGAGGTCTTATTTTTTTAAAACGGCTTAAACGATTTTTCTAAAATTTATAGAATATGAAGTTGAAGGTCCAAACTAGTTCATGAACTATAAATGAAAATCCCCTAATCAACGGAAGTAGTCAAGAAAGGTATCCAAACTTTGACAAAATTGTGAGAAATGGGTGCCTGTGCGGAAAATGCGATATATCAATTGTGTTCTTGTCGATTAGTTAAAGTTTTATATCGTTTAATAGCCAATTGA